GCCCGCATGTTCCGACGTCCAGCCGAGGTCCAGCCGACGTCGGGCCGACGTCGGACCGAGATCAATTGCTGAGGTCCAGCCGACGTCGGGCCGACGTCGGGGCGACGTCGGACCGACATCGGCCGCTGTTTTGACCATTAAAATAATATAAAATACATGTTTCATGTTTCATAAAGAGCTTCTGTATTCAAAATATCCTCAGGAAACTCAAATCTTCCTCCACGCCGCAACCCGCTGATCCGGACTGGACGGAAAACTTTATCCCATTTGGGATTGCCCGTAAGCCGAGCTCGCCCGTAGCCGGGTGCGGTGAGTGCTTGGGGGCTGCTCGGCCTATCCTCTGGTCAGGCTCAGCCCCGGCAACTCACCAGGGCCGGGCCCAGTTCATATAGAAAGGCCAGTCGGCAAGTGTCACTTTGCCAAAGTGCCACTTATCAAAGGGACACTTTGGGAAACGTTGGTGGAGGTGTGTAAGAGTGGCTATATGAATCCATTGTGGGGTCGCCCTTTCCAATAAGTGTCACGTAACAGCAATGGGACCAGGGACTCTTTATGAACTGGACCCAGGGTGCTCGCCAAGAAGACCAATGTCTCCATCCTATGATCCTTCCGGCTCTGAAATGGTCTTGTTAGACCGAAAGGGCATAACCCAACAAAACAAACCAAATTCGTTAGCTGGGTGCGTGGTGTAGTGGTTAGCGCACTAACCTCGCGTTCGAATGACATGGGGTTCGAATCCCATCGCCGGCTGATGCTTTTGGCGTGTTGTCCCAGTAAACATGCCGACGTCGGCGACTGGGGGGCTCGAATCCCGCCGCCGGTTGATATTTTTGGCGCGTTGTCCCAATAAACATGCCGAAGTCGGCCCCGTCGGTCCAACGACAAACGATCTCGTCAACCTCGGCAAACGATCTCGGCCCGACGTCGGCTCGACGTCGGCTGGACTTCGGCTGGACGTCGGAACATGCGGGCATATCCGACGTCCAGCCGATGTCGGGCCGAGGTTGAACCGACGTTGGGCCGACGTCGGGCCGAGCCTCGGCCCGACGTCGGGCCGACGTCGTCATGTTTACTGGGTCATTTGTGTCCCGGACATTCTTTTTTTCGCGGTCGTTGAATGACAATATAATCTCTTGTACCCTCGCCGGCATAGGCGGCGGAACGGGGAGGGCACTGGGTGACTGGGGCACAGTTCCCCTCTTTAATTTTGGCCTTTTAACAGTAGCCCTATGGGCGTTGCATGGAAAGCATATTGGACCAAAAGTCGGCAGTGCCGTGCCCCCCTTAAAGGGACCCTCCCACCTTCAAAAAAGTTAATGAATTGGCATGAAAGTGATGTCGCTCGGTTCAGAAAGAGCAAAAACGAATGTCTACCAAATTTCATCGAAAAATATTCACCGGTTTTCAAGATATTAGACTTTTACTTTTGTTTGCTTTTTGGGATCTCCGCTGTTCCTAGCGACTTTATTTGAAAGTGCGGCATTTGTTGCGCGCAAAGCAGCATATACCACCGCGTGCTACAAAATGTTTTAGTCAAACATTTAAAAATTGTAAGATATCTGCTCTGACGTCACACATTCAGAGGGGTATTCCTATGCATTAGCCCCTCTGAATCAAAATGCTGCAATTTTGAAATTCAATATTTCCGATTTAAGGCATTTCTCGATGTTGTGAGTGCCGAAACCGGTAATTGTGAGCCAGGGACCCCATTTTGGCTATCTCAACTCAAATCTAATGTTAAGGTGGGAGGGTCCCTTTAATTGAAGATGTTCCGCCGCTACTGCCCGCCGGACCTATTTGTTTTCTACGGTACACGCCGGCCGAGGGGGCGGGTACGACCCCCCCCCCATCGCCGTTTGCCACTGGTGGAGCTAGCGCGTCGCGGAAAAAAAACGAGCGTGTGCGCCGTTACGAGCCGCAGAGATTAATGCCCGATTTTAAGGCCTTCTAGGTCAGGGGTTGGCATACGGCCTGCGGGCCGGATCCGGCCAGGTGGATGACGGTTGGATCCGGCCCGCGACCATCTGACGTCCGGCCCGCGGCTGGTATCAGCGACTTACATCGTGTTCCGGTCCGCCCCCCCCCCCCCCACACACACACCGCCTGGAAGGTTAAGCGAGTAGACCACGTGAAGCCGCCAAGTGCACGCACCTGCAGCAGTCGTTGATGCTGCGCGCAAAAGCTGCTGACCAAATCTTACCGTTGCAAGTTTTGTCTAGAAGTAGAATTAGACAAAAACACCCGCAAATGGTGTTTATAAACTCATGAAGTGTGCGAAGGAAGAACTGTTGTGCCAAAGCACATTTGAGTCACTTTTATATCGGAGTCGATTTATGAAGGAACCGCGGGCCGGAACACGATGTAAGTCGCTGATACCAGCCGCGGGCCGGACGTCAGCTGGTCGCGGGCCGGATCCAACCGTCACCCACCTGGCCGGATCCGGACCGCGGGCCGTATGCCGACCCCTGACCTAGAAGGCCTTAAAATCGGGTATTAATCTCTGCGGCTCGTAACGGCGCACACGCTCGTTTTTTTCCGCGACGCGCTAGCTCCACCAGTGGCGAAACGGCGATGGGGGGGGGGTCGTACCCGCCCCCTCGGGCCCTCGGCCGGCGTGTACCGTAGAAAACAAATAGGTCCGGCGGGCAGTAGCGGCGGAACATCTTCAATTAAGGGGGGGGGGGGGGCACGGCACTGCCGACTTTTGGTCCAATATGCTTTCCATGCAACGCCCATAGGGCTACTGTTAAAAGGCCAAAATTAAAGAGGGGAACGGTGCCCCGGTGCCCTCCCCGTTCCGCCTATGCCGGCGAGGGTACAAGAGATTATATTGTCATTCAACGACCGCAAAAAAAGAATGTCCGGGACACAAATGATATGGAATGTTACGATTGTCGGCTCCCAAATAAAATAGCTTCACCTAACTGACCTCATCTACCTGTCTTCAAAAGTTTCGATCATCCATTCCTTGCATTAAATTCGTCATTCACTTGACTGTCTGATATTTCTTCATGGTTTTATTGAACCACATTTGTGGACGAATGTTTGCGGAGACGAAGATAGCGCAGACAAAGGCTTGCGGACGAAGATTTGGTTGGACGAAGAAATGCGTGGACGAAAAATGCGGACGAAAATTTGCGGACGAAGATTTGCGGACGAAGATTTGCGGACGAAGATTTGCGGGGACGAAGATTTGCGTGGACGAAGAAATGCGGACGAAGATTTGCGTAGACGAAGAAATGCGTGGACGAAAAAATGCGGACGAAGATTTGCGGACGAAGATTTGCGGGGACGAAGACTTGCGGACGAAGATTTGCGCAGACGAAGATTTGCGTGGACGAAGAAATGCGGACGAAGATTTGCGTAGACGAAGAAATGCGTGGACGAAAAAATGCTTGACGAAGAAATGCGCCGACGAAGAAATGCGGATACGAAGAAATGCGCTACGAATTTTTGCACCTACGAAGAAATGCGAGACGAAGTAATGCGACACGAATAAATGCGCCGACGAAGATTTGCGGACGAAGAAATGCGGACGAAGAATTGCGCGACGAAGAAATGCCATACGAAGATTTGTCCTGAAATCACCAGAAAGTGACCTAAACCGTACCTGATGGTCTTATAACCAACATTATTGAGTTGGAAGTAAAAAAAAAAAAATGCCATAAAACATGCATCACACAACCCTAGTAAAGTTGGGTTGATGTGCTCACTGCTCATCCTTGGTGACCTGATCTGTGACCTGCGACCTGGTATTATCAGTGACCTCCAATAGCAATATATGTCCTAGGCATTAAGCCCTACCGCTGATTCTCGACAAAATGCGTTTTACTCGATATTATAGGGCATTCCATAGAAGACCTGTGAACGGTGAAACATTTTATCTTTGATCTGACCTGTGTGACGTCATCGGTGACCCCGAGGTCAATGAAACTTGAGTTCCCTGAACAAATTTGGCAGGGCTATCGAACGCCGTTTGAATTTTGCGGATCCGTCCGGTAGGTTCGGAGCTACGAGGGGGGGGGGGGCAAAAATATGCCCCCTACCGCGTGGAAGGTGGCCGGGAGGCCCATCATTTACCTGGTTAATGCATTTAGGACAGGTCAGGCCAGGTCTGGTCAGGTCAACCACTAGGGGTCCCACTGACCAGCCACAGTAGGTGTCAACCACCACTGACAGCTTCCCAACATGTTACCAAGGCACCTAAAGTACTTTGTTAATGTTCAAATGGGTGGTAAATTCGAAATCAGCTCCAAAAACTACCTCAGAAGCACCTAAAACTAAAAACAGTCAACCAAGTTCATCAAAGGTCAGTGACCTTTACCTGACCTTCATGTGACCTTGACACCAGAATGCATGGGACCAACAGTATTTCACATGTTTGAACGTTTACAACCACAGAAGGCTGGAAACGTGCGGATAATATGAGCTGACATCTGCCGCATTGATTCCGGCCAAACATGGTCTCGACCTCGAGCAACAGGTCACAGGTCAAAGGTCATGTGGGTCAGGTTCATGAAATTTTCAGGGCAAGTATAAAATTAATAAACTCGAGAGTGCTGAAAGTTTCGTCGCGAGCGGCCGCTTTTTGCGTCAGTTATTCACACAAAAAACGAGCGGGGGTCCATTCGACCCTCCATAAGTTGATTTTCAACTGCCTCGCACCTGCATACACAATCGAAATCTTACTAGTTTTTTTTTTTCTGGCCTTTGGAGAAGGGGGGCATCTACACCCCCCATAACATCCTTTCCGAGATCCATCTTTGGCTCATTGGTCATCATTAGAAAGACGATAGATGACAGATTTTTCGGGTTAGGGTTAAATATCCTTGCAACGGTCAGAAGGTGGATTCATGCAGACTGTGAAAGGCCTCCGTGCTTCATTATGGAGAGAAGCCCTCTCCTCGCGACTCGCACCCGTGTGTAATCTCATGTTTACCGAGCGGCCCGGCGGCGAGTCGCGTCCGGCCTCTCACAGCAGTTCGCGCCGCTGCCGCCAGGTGTCTGGGGGCGTTCCCGGCCGCGGTGCGGTGCCGGCGACCGGCGTCAGTCGACGTAACGATCCGGGAGGCCGCACACCGCCTCTCGCTCCTCGCAGCACCGGGACAGCAGCAGTAGCAGCAGCAGCAGCAGCAGCAGGGACAGCCATGTCGGCGGCAGGCCGCGTGGCGCTCTACGGAGGGGCCTCGGCCGTCCTCTGGTTTCTCGTGGAGATCACGGCCGGCCAGATACTGGCGGCGCTGTTTGCCGTCTGGGTTCTCACCGGTGGATGGAGGATGCTGCGGATCGCCTACCGCACCCTGCCCAGGGAGCTCATGTGAGTTAGGAGGGGCTCGCAAGCGCTTAGGGGACGTTAGCCTGTGGGGTGGCTGGTAAGTTAGGGCATATTCAATGAGTATCAACAAGAAACTATATACATTTTTGGTTGATTCTGTTAATAGTTGATTAGTAACGTGCTCACGTTTTCTTTGTGCGTTGAAGTATAGGTGTCGTGAGCGTATTTCCATCACTGTTTTCTTGTCCTTTGAAGGTTACGGTGTTTTACATGCCTGTTGCGCGACCGTTTTCTAACTTATCACTAGCATCAAACACCTGCAATCTTATCAATTCGACAACATCTTACCAACGTGGAGCCTCAGGCTATTGACATTCCACTTGATCTCTCCCACGCAGGGCCGTGCAGCGGTTCGGCAGACTCCTCTACAAGATCAAGGTGTGCGAGCGCTACAACATGTCCGTGCCGGAGCTGTTTCAGCAGACGGTGGCCCAGAACCCCAACAAGACGGCCATTATGTTCGAGGAGCAGCGCTGGACGTACAGAGAGGTCAGTCCGGGGGTCAGTCAGTGTCAGTCACTCTGTGACAGTCCGGTCAGTCCGGGTCACCAGGGGACCACTCCAGGTCACAATGAATCAGTCCGGGTCACAGGGGGTCAACACGGGTCACGGGGGGGGGGCGGAGTCACACACAGCGAGTCAGACTGGGTCATAGCAGGACAGTCGGGTCACAGGGAGTCAGTTCGGGGCGGAGGGGGCAGTCCAGGCCACAGTCCAGTCGGCAGTCAGGGTTACAGTGGGACAGTCCAGGTCACAATAAGCCGACCGTAATCGTTGCGAGTGCAGGTCGCCAAGTTCCAAGCCCTGTCATTCCATATCACGCCCAAATCGCCCATCCATGTCGCTTGTCGCTACAATGCACATGTCATCACATATGAGTACAGGTACAAGCCGTTGATAGCGAGCGATGCAAATACCGTTGCGTATAACCCCCTCCGCTTCAGTAGCGTACCG